CTTATTAAGAACAGAGTTCTGGGTATCTTTAAAAAACAGTTATTTTTCTTCTTCCCCTGCTGGAAGCAAAAGAATTTTCTCCACCTTTACAGTGAGACCCTGGTAGGGTTCCTGGAGGTAGAATTCACGGAAGGATAGGAATCTCCCCTAAAACTGGGCCTCCTGGATTTTCAAGGCTTAAGCTAGTCATCATTGAGCCTCCAGCAACCGGCCAATGCCCGTTTCAAGTATTCCTACTGCTTCCAGCGGGGGCGGCTTCTGCTCCTGGGCGGTTGGCTCCGGTAAGCTGTGGTTCTCTGTGTCCACCCATCTGTCTCTGCAGTTTTCAGGGCAGCAGTTTGCCCTGTAGCCCCATTGCTCTGATGGATCTAAGAAGAGTTGTTAGTTTTCATCTTGTTCAGTTTTTTTCTTAGGATGCCGTGATAACTTCTTGGCTCCTGGTGTGTCAGATCAGAAAATGCCTTTGTACACAGAGAGGGAAGTAAAGAAAAATTAATTAAGTTGCTCTTGTCTTGGCTGGGGTTCAGAAAGCACAGCCTGAGACAAGAACTTGGTACAGGTGGTTAATGTGAGAGTTGATCCCCGGGGGCGGGAACAGTTGGGTAAAGTGAGTCCGGGAGAGCAGAAAAGCCAGTGAACTGGTCTGCAGTAGGGGGCGGAGGGGTGAGGGGCTTAAAGACCCTGCTTTAAGACATCTTCACCACAGCCTTGCAACAGAGCCTGCGTAGTTGTGACCCCGGTTTTAAGGCTGCTCGTATTGAAAGAGAGAAAGTACTGTCAAGCGTTCTATTTGTAGGGGCTGCTGGGTGGCCTGGGGTTGGTCACCCTCCTCTCTGGGGCTCAGCCTCCTTCATGCTCACCGAGGGTCTTTCTACCCCAAATATCCAAATGGCTGCCTCCTGGGACAAACCCCGGCATCCCACACGGACTGCGTGGGGCCTGAAGCCAAGCACGTTTTCATGGAAATTGTGAAACCAGCTGCGTCCTTTAAAACATGTGAGTTTTTGTTCCAAGTCTTCTGACTTTACCCAGTTCCTCTGGCTTATTTATTTATTTTTTGTCCTTTTGGCGTGATCTTTGCTCTCTGGAATGGAGTTCTCAATGGGCATAGCCCTGGGCCTGAGCCGCAGCTGGCTCTGGGCTTCCTACTGTTTCGCTTCTGAGCTCACTTTTTACAGGTAGCTGACTCTTGAGATGGGGGCTGAATGTGAGTCCTGGGGGAGCCATGGCCTGGCCCAGGGAGGTGCACAGAGCAGGGCCGGGGGCTACGTAACAGTAGGATGATAGGAATGAGTGTATATCTGGAATATCTAAGAATGTATCTGTATATCTGAGAATGTACAGTGATAGGAATGTATGTCTCTGCCCAGTCTGAATTCTTAAGTGACTGTTGTGCTCTCCGAGGCCTCATATGCACACTTATTTGTAGGTTTTTTTCACCCTGTACAACTACCTATATATACTTTTATTTTGTTGTATTCCCAACGTGTTTAAGAAAGGCTTTATGGACTATGGAAAGAGCCAAGATGTCCATTGACAGATGAATGGATAAAGAAGATGTGGTATATAGATACAATGGAATTTTATGCAGCCATCAAAAGGAATGAAAGCTTGCCATTTGCAATGATGTGGATGGAACTAGAGGGTATTATGCTAAGCAAAATAAATCAATCAGAGAAAGACATGTATCATATGACCTCACTGATATGAGGAATTCTTAATCTCAGGAAACAAACTGAGGGTTGCTGGAGTGGTGGGGGGTGGGAGGGATGGGGTGACTGGGTGATAGACACTGGGGAGGGTGTGTGCTCTGGTAAGCACTGTGAATTGTGCAAGACTATTGAATCTCAGATCTGTACCTCTGAAACAAATAATGCAATATATGTTAAGAAAAAAAAAAAGATAGCAGGAGGGGAAGAATGAAGGGGGGAAATCGGAGGGGGAGATGAACCGTGAGAGACGATGGACTCTGAAAAACAAACTGAGGGTTCTAGAGGGGAGGGGGGTGGGGGGATGAGTTAGCCTGGTGATGGGTATTAAAGAGGGCACGTACTGCATGGAGCACTGGGTGTTATACGAAAACAATGGATCGTGGATCACTACATCAAAAACTAATGATGTATAGTATGGTGACTAACATAATATAATAAAATTAAATTAAATTAAAAAAAGAAAAGAAAGGCTTTATGGTAACTTAACAAAGAAACGTGCAATGCAGCGACAACAACAGGTAGCCAACACTTCTATTTGCTTGCCAAGTGCTGATAACCATTTTTAAACTCATTCAATCCTCAGAACAGCCCTGGGGGGTAAGGTGGTATTATTATCGCCACATTTTAGATGGAGAAACCTAGGTACAGAGCAGTGAAAGGGCTTCCCCAGGCCGCCAAGGTAGAGAGCGGTGGGACTAGGACCCAACCTGGGCAGGCTGGCTCTGCTCTAGGTTCTGAGCTAAAAGGATACGCTGAGAAAAGTGAGACAGGGAAGGTAAAGGTAGATGCTTCTTCACAGATCTTTCTTGCTAGCCTGAGAATAAGGGTGAGCAGATTATAGGTATTTAATAGACGTGTTATTTGCCCTTTTAAAGACAACTGTCTTATTCTGCTTTCTGTTGTGGGTAGTTGCTAGTATCCATAATGTGCAGTGTAGGGGCAGTGGTGAGGAGAAACTGCCCCTCCCATTACATTCTGGGACAATGTGATTTTTTTTTTTTTAAGATTTTATTTATTTGAGAGAGACAGAGACAGAGACAGAGCATGAGCGTGGGGTGGGGGGGTGGATGGAGGCAGAGGGAGAGGGAGAAGCAGACTCCCTGATGAGCAGGGAGCCCGACATGGGGCTCCATCCCAGGCCCCCGGAATCATGACCTGAGCCAAAAGCAGATGCTTAACCAACTGAGCCACCCAGGCGCCCCGGAACAATGTGATCTTAACCCCTTTCCTCCCCTCCAGGCTGGACTTTTTGCTGAGAAGTAGTCCTAAGTGGAGCAGTAATCCTTCCTGGGATATGCCCAGGAGCCCCAGCCCTGAGAGCACAATGGTTAGAGGAGTAGCATGAAGACCCCCACTCGGATTCCCCCGAATTGCTCCTTCTGCCTTCTGCCTGTTCTTCTACCATTAGCAACCCATTCCTTCTTTACATAAGCCCATGCTTTCATGGGATTTAGCGTGGCCTCAGAGAAGTTGAAGTCCTGGCTCTGCCACTTATTGGACAGGTCATCCTCTGGTCCGGGAGGTGAAGAGGTGTCTGGCATCACCAACCTACAGTGGGCACTCCAATCCTAGTATGCATTTCTCCTTATTGTGAATCCCCAAGGCAGGGAAATGGACTTAGGTTAGGGGTCATCCAGCCTCACTGTTCCCCAGACCAACCACCTTAAACATTTTCTGCATCTGTTCTGCATCTACTTATAGAGTTTCTGCTAGTTGAAGAGATGTTTAAAAGTATAAGTAAAATTATTGCTATGTTAGGGAGGCTACATTTCTTTTTTCTTTCTTCCTTTCTTTCTTTCTTTCTTTCTTTCTTTCTTTCTTTCTTTCTTTCTTTCTTTCTTTCTTTCTTTCTTTCTTTCTTTTCTTTCTTTTTTTATTTTAAGTAGGCTCCATGCCCAGCGTGGAGCCCAACATGGGGCTTGAACTCATGACCCCGAGCTCAAGACCTGAGCTGAGATCAAGAGTCGGAGGCTTAACTGACTGAGCCACGCAGGCGCCCTGGGACTACATTTCTTGTTTCTTATTTCTCTCCTTTAACCAAACCAAATCCCTCCAGCCCCTTCCACCTCCCAAGCTAGAGTAAATATGGAAATAAATTATCAAGTGGACGACTGCCATAAAGAGAAAAAGTTTATTCCTAAGGGCTTTCCAGGCTTTTCTTATATCCTGTGGGTTCAATTCCAAGTTCCTATAATTATCTAGATACACAAGAGTTTCCTACATTGTCTGTGTAGATGTAGGTGCCCTCGATGTGTAAAGTTATAAAAGCAGAACATTTGTATAAAACAGAACATCCTGGGAGGGAGGGAAGAAGGGGAGCATATGAAAGTCTAGAAAGTCTGAGAAGGCTTAGGCTGCTCCTGTCTGGGACACGGTAACCCTAGTGGGGCTTCCAAGGACATAAGGTCCTGCTTATCTTATCTCCTCCATTTGAGTTTAAACTCCAGAGGGACAGAACTCACCTTCTAGAATCTCAGACTCTAAGTTAGAAGTGACTTAAAGGTCATCTAGCTCCAGTCCCTCACCCCCAGAGTGGGAATTCTCTCTATCCTGTCCCCAAAAGATGGCTCCCACACCTGCTTGCGTCCCAGCCTGCAAGATAATTTACATGGCAAGTGGCCGAGTTAAATAATCCTTTCATTTAGCTTGGTGTCCTGTCCCAGGACCTAGGAGAGCTCACTAGACCAAAGCACCAGGTCAGGTTTCAAGATGCTTCCTTCCACCCTGGCTCCCAGGTGCCAGCCTAGAACCTGAAATACCATCCTCAGTGTCTTCTCAGGGACGGAGGTGGGTGGAGACATCATAGGTTTTGGAGACCCCCAGGCCTGGGTTCAAGTCTCGCTGCCTACACTTCTCAGTGGCTGTGTGGCTTTGGGCAAGGTAACCCACCTGTCTGTGCTATCCCCTGCAGAAGACCAGGAATAATCCCTCAGGGGATGTGGGGAGGGGTCAGTGGGTGCACAAGACCAGCATGGGACACAGGCTCCCCCAGCTACCTTCCTGTGTCTGCATGAGAGTGTGAGCATCGCTGGGGGGAGAAACAGCTTCTTAGTGGCATTTATCCCAGCGTCGAGCATAGGGCTTTGTCTGGTGTACCAATAAGAGAAAAATAAAATACCCAAGTCACTTATCGGTGCCTCCAGAATCTAGAACAGAGCTCTGTACTCAGATATCTCTGAGAGGCCTGTTCACAAACTGGCAAAACTCTGCTGCCCTCTGTCTTCAAAACAAAGACCTGTTCTGTGCACTCCACAGTCTGAAACAAAAATTAAGATAGCTGATGCATTCCAGACCGAGAAACTGAAACTGATGTGTTTTTTGCTTTCGTTTTCTTCCCCTCTCTCATGCTGGTTGCTGAATAAGACTGAGTTACTCACTAGGCATGGCTTCCCAGCCTCAGGGGGGAAAAACGGTTTTAGACATCCGGACCTGGGAGCAGACATTTCAAGAGCTGATGCAGCAGGAGAAACCCCGGGCCAGATGGACCCTGAAGCTGGATGAGAAACTGGAGCCGGACTGCCTCGCCGAAGGCTGGAAACAGTACCAGCAGAAAGGATTTGGCAGGTGAGTGAGAGTTGGCCTCTAGGCGGACTTTCTCTGGCAAAGAGGGTCGCTTAGCAGCGACTGACTGATTCCTTTGAGAGCTTGTTAAAGGAACCAGTGTCCCCAGGATCTCCATTCTTTCATGGCCACAGTACTCTTTCCATTTTGCTTAGCCATAACACAAAAAGAAGTTTCTTTTTTTGCTAGGTTTCCTTCCTAAATATTTCTGGAGGTTCTCAAGGAATGCTTCCATATTCCATACATCTGCCCTCCCATTCTCTCACCACTTCCTGTTCCAGATTGCCTCTATCCAGAGACTTCTGCTATTTCTGCCCTCAGTCCTGACTTCCCCAGGCTGCAGCAGCCCTCCTGGCCCAAGCACCAGCCCAGGACCAGGGCCTTCCTTAAAGCCCCAAGAATAGAGGGAGGCCACATAATCACTTTGGTTTTTTGTTTTGTTTTGTTTTTATTTATTTATTTAAAAAAATATATATTTTTTTTTTATTTATTCATGAAAGTCAGAGAGAGAGAGAGAGGCAGAGGGAGAGAAGCAGGCTCCCCGCCTAGCAGGGAGCCCGATGGGGGACTCGATCCCAGGACCCTGGGATCATGACCTGAGCCGAAGGCAGACGCTTAACCATCTGAGCCACCCAGGCGCCCTTTTTTTTTTTTTTTAAGATTTATTTATTTATTTGTCAGAGAGAGAGAGCAAGCACAAGCAGGAGGATGAGGGGCAGAGGGAGAGGCAGGCCTCCCGCAGAGCAGGGAGCCCAATACAGGGCTCAATCCCAGGACCCTGGGATCATGACCTGAACCGAAGGCAGATGCCCAACTGACTGAGCCACCCAGGAGTCCCCACACAATCACTTTGAACATGACTTTGTTGAAGGCCTGGGGATAATAGAGGGAATGGTGCAGCAAGAAAGATATCTAAAACCTAGTTCCTGGAGTCGGTAAGTAATGCCCCTCCCCTATTGGCCATCTCCCCTTTTCACCCCTAGAGAGCCTGCACACTGCAGGGAGCAATTTCCTTGCCCGGGTCAGGGCAGGGTAAAGGGGGGCAGGGAGAAATGTTGACCTGGGCAGCCAGGTCTCCTTTTATGGGGCACACCTCACCTGTTGTCCTGCTTCCCTCTCTGCCCCACCCTGACTCCATCTGTCCTCTGCTCCAACCTTATGGATTATAAACCATGCCCATGCATTTTCAGACTTCTGTTCCCTTATCATGATATTATGCCTGTTGGGCAGGCCCTTTCCTCCCTCCCCTGTACTCATCCTTCAAGGACCAACTCAAGTGCCACCCCCTCCTTAAAGCACCCTGGTCTTCCTAGGCGGAGTAAGTGTTCCTTCTTCTACATTCCCATAAGATAATGGTTTTAAATATATATATTTAAAAACAAGCTGTGTATCCCTTTATGACTCAGTTTCCTTATCTTGACATTGGGCTCAATAATGCCTCCCTCAGAGGGGAGCTTTAAAGATGAAGTGGGATAATACTGCAGCCCCTATTACAGTGCTTGCCTCAAAGTAGTTGCTTTATACGTTTTCTGCGATCATGAGGAGGACCAAATTTTGCTGGCCGATGGCAGAACTACTTTTCCCTCTGAGACATCCAGAGATGTTTTAGTAGCAAAGAAGCATACTTGGGACCATGTAGGGTGGAAGCTCAGTGGATCACAGGAAAAGGCTTTATTAAAAAACACAATCCCTCTCATTCTTATTTGGCAATTTGTTAATATCATATGTACCTTCCCGTATTGGAAGAAATCTTAGAGACCGAGACCAGGCCCACCTCCTTCAGGTCAATGATCACCTGAAGGCACAACAGCCTTCTTCCTTCTGTCTGCAGGTTCCAGTGTTCCTCATGCCGGCGAAATTGGGCTTCTGCTCAAGTGCATATCCTCTGTCACATGCACCTGGAGCCCCAGAAGTCCCAGGGCCAGGTGATTATGCGGCTCTTTGCTCAGAGGTGCCAGAAGTGTTCCTGGTCTCGATTTGAGAATCCTGAGTTCTCCCCAGAGAGTGCCATGCGAATCCTGAAAAACGTGGTGCGGCGTATTCTGGAGAAATTCTACGGGAACGGCTTTAGGAAGTTTCCGGAGCTACCAATCATCCGGGAGGTGCCTTTGGATGGGTCCCATGACACAAAAAATTGTGAAGCATGCACTCTGGGCTGCTGTTCATGGAGGTCACGAAACAACGAGACAGAGCCATCAATATCCCCATCCTCCTCTATGGATATTAGGAGTTCCTCTTGTCACATTGGTGACATGTCTGGCCAAAACCAGGAGTATGGGTCTAACTATAACTTTAAGGAGTCAGGGCCCAGCCATACCACTGCTGAGACCCAAGCTCCTGAAGCAGGCACTCAGCCCAAAGGGGAGACTAGTAGACAGCCCACCCCAATGGCAGATAGGCAGGCCATACAGGAAAATTCACAATCCACACAGGAGACAGCACCACAGACCCCCTGGAGGACATACTCTGAGGTTTTAAGGATGGCCCACCAACAGTCTACACAGCAGTCATTCTCACAAGCCACATGGACCATGTCAAGGATAATCTCGAGGTCTACAATAGAGTCATACCCTCAGACTAGAGGAAGAACAGCCCCCTCTACACTAGGGTCACACCTACAGCTTACACGGAGGACAGCTAGGGGGCTCGTGATCCTCAGTAGAACTCAAGCTACCTGGAGACGTTCACCCAGATACTCCATTCCAAACACCCATCACATATACCCTCATTCAGTGCAACGAGATGTATTCTTTGACCTGGATATATTTTTCTACTTCTGCGTCTGTATTATTTTATTCCTTGTCTTTGTAGGCAAATATTCAGAAGCAGAAAAAGGGAAATAAGTTTATCTTCTTTTCTTCTGTTTTAATTCCATGGTAATCAATGAACTGGTTACCATTTACTTTTATTTTTATTTTTTAAAGATTTTGTTTATTTATTTATTTGACAGCAAAAGAGGGAACACAAGCAGGGGGAGTGGGAGAGGGAGAAGCAGGCCTCCCGCAGAGCAGGGAGCCCAATACGGGGCTCAATCCCAGGACCCTGGGATCAGGACCTGAGCCGAAGGCAGACACTTAACGACTGAGCCACCCAGGCACCCCAAGAACTGGTTACCATTTTAATATGACACAGAATATGCTTTGAGACCAAGTAGGGTCAAGTTCTTAAGAATAAACACTGGTTTCCTAGATCTCCTTAGCAGATAATCTAAAACATAACCTAGAAGATAATGGACCAATAATAAATATTTGTTGAATCACTAAAAGCTCTTCATTCATTCATCCACTCATTCATTTCTCTCTCTCTTTATCTATATCTTGACATGTCTTCACAAGAACTGAGGGTCATGAGTGTTATCAGAGAATTATTGTGGTAGGCAGAATAGTGGCCCCCCAAAGATATCCATTCCCTATTTCCCAGAACCTGTGCATATGTTAATTTACATGGAAAAAAGACTTTACAGATGTGATTAATTTAAGGATCTTGAGATGAGGAGCTTATCCTACATTATCAGGATGGACCCAATGTAATTACAATGGTCCTCATAGGAGGGAGACAAGAGTGTCAAAGGGGGAAAAAGGAAATTTAATGATGACAGCAGAGCTTGGAATGATGGGCTTGGAAGATGGAGGAAGTGGCCATGAGTCAAGGAATGCAGACACCTCTTAGAAGCTCATAAAGATAAAGAAACAGATTTCCCCTCAGAGACTCCAGGAGGAACCAGCTCTGCGGACACAGGACCTCAGCCCAGTGAGACTGATTTTAGACTTTGGACCTCCAGAACTGTAAGATAATAAATTTGTGTTGTTTTAAGGCACTAAATTTGTGGTAATTTGTTAAACTAAAATAGGAAAGTAATACAGCTATCAATATCACCCCAAGGATCAGGCAATTATGTTTTAGGTATGCTTCAGTTTTAACCGAAAAAGAGAGATTAGAAATATTGATATGCCGGTCCCCTCTTAGTCTTCCTTCTCCCCTACTTAGATCTACCCAAATGACCCTGTCCAGAAGAGACTCCCTTTGATTTGGTGACCCCTGGAGCTATCCTATTCTTTCACTTCTTCCAGCACTGGATGAGGAAACATGCAAGAGCTTGCCAATCCTGAAATAGTATGATGCATGGCTGCAACGTTCAGTCCTGCCGGACATTTCTACATGCCTCTCAAACCACAGTCACCATGTTTAAAACCAAGCTCATCAGCATCTCTGATTTCCCAGTCCTAATTTGACTCAGTCACCCAAGCTGATCACCTTAGAGCCATCTTTAATTTCTTCTCCCTGTCACCTACACTTACTGTCCCTTGTGTTGTCAAGTTATCCACTCTCTTCCTATCAGCCCCTCTCCCCAACCAGTCTAAAAGCTTAAATTACTGAGATAACTAGAGAATTTGGTTTTTACCCCATAGGCAATGAGGAGTCGTTGCTAGCATTTGAGATGGGCAATTTGAGTGGAATCACATGTTTAAAACATTATATATTTCTAGGAAAGAATGGAGTAGAGAATAGAAATAGTAAGGAGTCTGACTTGAGATGGCATAGTGGTAAACACAGAGAGTGGTACCTACAGACAATAAAGGTCTTGAAGGAATTTGAAAACAGTGAAATGTCAGCAGAAAACCCAAGGATAAAAGTATCTCTTTTTCTCTGGCGCTATCTTCTCTTTTCCTCTTAGGCCACTCTTATCAGCGTGCTCCTTTTATCAGTACATCCTCCCCAAACCAGCCCCCTGACTCTCTGTGTTCCTCCTGTTTTCACACCTTTTCAGTTCCTTCACAAAGAACATTGGCTTGGGGACTAGACACTTTATTTCTAGTTGGTTATGCTGTAGGACCTGGGGCAAGTCCTTATCTTTCCCTGGGCCTCAGTTTCTCTATCTCAAAATAGGTTAATGTCTTCCAATTAAACATAGTGGATTGAACGCATGCATTTCCCTCTGAGCTTCCTTGAAACCTTACTGAGTGACAGTGAAAGGGGGGAAAAAGGCATCAGTACACAAGGGTAAAGAGAATGCACAGAAGCTAGAAAACTGCTCAACTAGGGTTAGATCACTGACTTAGCAGGGTAGAGAAATCTGGAATAGAAATTGGCAAGGGAAAACTGAGGTGCAAAGCAATTCATATGGCACAGTTTCAGAAAGTTCAAAAACTGTAGGCAGCAGTGCTTCTGAAGGTGGGTGCTGAGGCTGCTGAAGTGGGAGGATTGGCTGAAAGCCTTTACAGCAAGTTTCTTTCCTCCACTACTCTGTAGCCTGGTGACCACTCTTAACGGGCTCCAGGGAGAAGAATGGAGGTTTATTCTCTGAAGACTTAGAGGGTTCTGGACTCAGGGACATAGGCGATGTGAAGGGAGAGAGGCTACTCAGCAATTAGAAAGATGGTTCAGGTCTACACACTGACCCTTGGGACTCCCTTACTCCACCACGAAACCTAAGAGCCATGCCAGCCTTGAATCTTACCCACCCCCTCCTCAAATACACAGGAGAGTGGATGGGTCCTCTTTGGGAACACTTATGAGCTCAAGAGAAAAAACCATATATATATCTACTTAAAAGGGTGGGGGGGAGTGTTTCATCCAATGGAATGACTAGCTGAAGTAGCTCCAGAGTGAATCCACCAGATACAAAAACCCTACAGAGCTTCTAGTCAACTCTTTGGTGTAAGATACCTAATTTGGACAGACTGTCAAGGGGTATCAGATATTTGATATATCTCCAAATGTGAAGGCAAAAAAAAAAAAAAAAAAAAAAAAAGATTAAAAAAAGTGGAGAGTCAAAGAAAACAGAGATAATTCAAAGATAAGAAAATGAACCAAAACGTATTTCAACAGTAAAACTATGATTTATGCCTCAGAGAGATAAGAGAAGGTATAATATTCACGAAACAAATTAGATGGATTCTCTGCAGCAACCTCAGGTGAGGCAGTTATCTTTGGCTGGGGGATCTCAGCTACAAGTCTTTAGCAGGCAATGCTCCCAAAAGCTGGGGGAATGAGTGCCCTGGTCCCGAAGGCAGGGATCTGGGCAATGGACCACAGCCTCCACTATGGTTAATATTTTGCACCACTTCAATCCACTTGCTTGGTATAAATGATCAGCTGGCAAACTGAGCCCCATCACTGCATCTGTCTTGGGGTGGCAACTAGATATTCACTATCTTCCTTTACTACCCCATCTCCATTGCCCTTACCCAGGCACCTCTGCCGTTCAGGTGGCTTAACCTGGTGGGGTTATCCAGACCTTCATCCTTAAGGGGTATGGGCCTTTGGTCACAAGGTCTTTCTCAGTCTGTGGCATCTGCATTTGTCCACCCACTGTCAAAAGTGGACAGAAAAGTGCCGAGAGGCCCCGGTGGATCATTTGGGTGCCAAATATATTCTTCCTGCCCCCACTGTATAACAGGAGTCCTATTTCCCTCCAACGATCAGGAGAGTGACACTTTCTTGCCTGCTGTTTTCTTGGCAAAAAATCTGTGAAACGACCAGCCACAGCTGGTCATGGGGTTCTTGCTGTGTTCCTTAGTGGGAGCAGTCCCCACCCAGCATGGCCAGACCTGCGGAGCCTTGTGTTGTGGTTGGTGGGACACCTTGAAAATGGCACCTGATTTAATGTGGGTGACGGTAAACAGGGTCACCCCTACTTCCACCTCTTGATTTCCAGACCTATACACTCTACCTACTGGGACCACACACATAGTGGTCATTGCTTCAGAATGTGTACTATACTCTGGTGGATGGTGACTCACCTTTGCAAAGCAGCATCTCCAAGAGGCACCCCAGCTGCCTCTTTAAGAGGCTATGTCATTGATCTGTCAGGCTGGCGGCTTCTGGGTGGTGCTGTATTTGATGAAACTAGGAAATTCCATGCCCTTATCACCTCTGCTGTAACTCTTTTGCTACAAATTTGGCCCTTGATCTAATGTGATATTATGTGATGTGTTCGTTTGCTAGGGCTGTGAGAAAGAATCTGTTCCAGTCTCTCACCTAGGATCTGGCGGTTTGCTGGCCATGTTTGGAGTTCCTTGGCTTGTAGAAGTGTCACCTTGACCTCTCCCTTCACTTTCATGTGATGTTCTTCACATGTGCATTTCTGTATCCAAATTTCCCCTTTTTTTATAAGGGCTCCAGTATGACCTTATCTTAACTAATCACTGTCTATTTTCAGCTTTCACCACATAATTGAACTAAACCACTGGTGAACCAAGAGTGGCCTTTTCCCTCCTCTGTTGACCAGTGGTAAGTAACAGCCTCTCCTGAACACGTGATCAGCTGTGAGCTGAAGGAGAGGCCCTAGTGCACCAGTGGAGGTCGACCTGGGGGCTGGGCCACCACTTCACCCAGTTCCTTTGTATTCTCCATCCCTGGCTTGTGCTCAGTCCCAGGCTGCATCACTTTCATATTCTGATGGATTATACTGAACCTGTATATGACTAAATGGGTCTTTCAGAATCTAGGTCATGGTGGGCATCTCTGGGCCCATCATCTTTTGGTATCTCACCATCGGGAGTTTTAACTTTATGCAGCCAAGTGGCTTGTAGGAGTTGGTTTTTGAATGGCATATAATTCTCTGATGCAGATGGCATGGCCTTGCTTCAGAACACAAGTGTTATAAATTGTATTTCTCCTTCTGGGGATTGATGTAAACACTGCATGGTATGAGAGCTAACTCTAGTACCAAAGGGTCTGCCGGATCATATGGGCCATGTGGTAGGCATTGCATTGTGGCCCTGCTGCAGAGCCCTTTCTTATTCTGGGTCCCCCTCCAAGTTGGCAGCTTTCTCTATTCCTTGGTAAATGAATCAGAGAAGTATGGACTACCAGGTATTGTGCTTCCTTTCAGTGGTGTGAGGGTCAAGATGCACTAATTTGCCCTTCACTTTGGAAGTGTTGTCCTGGCATGCTGCAAATTATTGTATCCCTAAAACCTTTACTGACTTGGCAGGGAATCTTTGTAGGAGTTTGTAGGTGGGACCTCTGGAGAGTGAGGTCTCCAATGCACTTGGCCACTTCTTACTCCTCTGGTCCGATTAAAATGACATCACTGATGGAGTAAACCAACGTGATGTTCTGCAGAAAGTCCAGATGGTTCAGACTCTGTAGATTATATTATGACAGAGGATGAGAGAATTAACATGGTCCTGGGACAAAAGTGTGAATGTAAGCTGCTATACACTCTATATGAAAAGTACTTCTGAGGGGCGCCTGAGTGTCTCAGTCATTAAGCGTCTGCCTTCTGCTCAGGTCATGATCCCAGGGTCCTAGAATCGAGCCCCACATCAGGCTCCCTGCTCAGCAGGATGCCTGCTTCCCTCTCCCACCCCCCCGCTTGTGTTCCTACTCTCACTATCTCTCTCTCTGACAAATCTTAAAAAAAAGAAAAATACTTCTGAGAAAGAATGAATCTATCAGATCAATGTCCATATACCATGTCTCTGAAGCTATGTTAATTTGCTCTAGCAAAAATATCACTTCTGGCACAATGGTTGTAATTGAGACCTCTACTTGGTTGTGTCTCAGATAGTGCAATGTCATCCTTCAGGATTTAATTGGTTTCTCTAGAAGCCAGACTGGTGAATCAAATGAGGACTGGCTGGAGATCACTACCTCTGTGTCTTTTAGGTCTTGAGGGTGGCTCTAATCTCTGCCATTCTCTCTGAGGCATGATATTTTTGGTTTTTATGATACTGTATCGAGGTTTTTGGAAAGAGAAGTCCTCAGCTTTTTTCATTACAGTAGCTCTTACCCCACAGACTGAAGAACCAATGAAATGTTCTGGCATCTACCACATGTGTCCATTCCAATTATCTATTCAGGGACTGGCAAAATGACCACTGGCTGAGCTATGGGGATTCAGTGGATCTGTCGTGAGCCTGACCTGAGCCAGGACTCAGCGCCCCCACATACTTCTACTCAAATAGCAGTCTGTGATTTATTTCAGATTCCTGAGGATCAATATCAATTCAGACCCTGAATCTAAAAGCCCTCAAAATGTCTGGTTATTGCCCTTTCCCCAGCATACAGTTACCCAAATAAATATCCATACGCCTCTTTGAGGAAGGATAGGGGATTTTTGCAGCATTTTTCCTCCTTGGGAACCACCCTCTCTTTCAGCCAATGAATTATGGGTCTGAAAAGTGGCTCAGATCTTCCTGAATAAAGAATTCTGATTTTTTTTTTAATTGGCTCAGCTGGTCTCAGTCTCCTGATCATCCATTCGTGGTTTCTTTTGATTGTATAAATTGAGAAATACTCTTACTGGTTGTCCACCTATTTGTCCTCTACATAGAGATTAGGAAATAGATAAAACTAGTGGATTGGTCCAGAAGGCCCAATATCCAAACAATAGGAGCTCCAGAAAGAAA